TTTCAACTTTGTAAACATATTTATGCATTTTAATGAATTCTTTATATTTATTCATGTTATATTTTAATGTGGGTTACACCTGCCAACATATATTTGGTTTGCTTACAAACAGGCAAATATACTTCTTACATTCAGAAGGTCACAATAGCAGAAATGTAGTCTTTATGGGTCTTTATGTTCATACCATCTTCTGGACATCTATCTTTATGTATGTGTTATACTGAGCCAATGGGGTCTTACCGTGCCATATGGCTCCATGTCCGTCCCACAGAGTAGCCAGGGTCTTCCTGGCTCCATCCCACAGGTTGTTGCAGTAAGCTTCCCTCAGCTGATTCTTTCTCTAAAAATAAATAAAAATGATACATTTCAGGCTGACTCATCGACTCATCCACTAATAGGACAAGAAATCAGCAACAGATTTGAACAGTCCTTCAGTAGATTGGTTGCTCAGCTGCACGCTCTAATCAGCATTCAGCTGGCTACTTTACATTTCTTGTAACATTTTGGTGGCTTTCCTTTTCAGTTCACCACAAACTTGTCTTTCTGCTCATATAAAAATTGGTCTGTCTAATTATATGAAAATATAAATTGTGAGTAATAGTTGAGTATCATGGCAATTATTATCATGGTAGCAATTTTACAATTACCAAAGAATACGACATAAAAAAATAGAACCAACACCGTTATCAGGGGCATTTAACAGTTTGGATATCAGTTTTTAAATGTATAGTTGGTTTGCTTCCATTGAATAAACATCCCCTGCAGTCCCAAACCATTGTTCTTGTTAAAGCTCTTTTGCTTGCCTTCAAAAGATTATTTCATATTTGTTGTATGTATAGCTCTTATATGCTTCCACTAAGGCCCCGTCCACACAGAGACGAAAATGAAAACGAACCAAAGTTGTATTCAAAAAAGTCTTCCATCCACACGGAATCGGCTCAAGAAACGTGTCCGTCCACACGAGACCGCTCGACCCGCTGGAGACGCTGTAGTACATATGCCAGGCATGTAAGTGGCGCTGTACTTCCGCCACAAAATACACCAAAAGCAGCGAAGAAGACCCCCGAGCATGGTTGCCATGGTTGCCCTTCTGGTTATTCTCTGCGGTGGATTTAGCAACATGTAGTTCATGTAGTTCTCCATGTCCACTTGTTGCTGATGGTTGTGGTAGAGGAGCTGTAGTTGCACTAACATCTGTATCATGGTCAGTAGCGTCTGGAGCACGAACGCAACCCTGTGATCCGCCATTGTTGTTGTTGTTGGCGAAACGCATCAGCAATGCAATGGGTGAGCAGGAGAGGTGGGGAGAGGCGGGGCTATGATCGTTTAGGGCGTACACACGGTGCCGCAAGCGTTACGTTACCAGACCTTCCCACTTTGGGATGCGTTATCGTTTGAGGGCTCCGTTTCCGCGGTTCCGTTACGGTTCGTCCACACGATAAAGAACTATAGCGGATAACACCCGTTTCGTCTCCGTGTGGACGGGGCCTAAAATGGTAATGCTACCATTCAGATCAGATGAAGGATCAGTTTTGTAAACATCTGAATAAATCTCAACTTAGTACATAATGCAGAGATACCTTTCCCATGTCTATTATAATTATCCCTCCAAGTATGCAAACCAGCACAGTACGCTTCTTTTCTCTCAAGTTTATATTTCCAAATGATTTCATTCTTATTCATCATTCTTATTTATCATGTTAATGGTTTTGTTGATCGCTTGCATGCTTAATAGTTTGTCTGTTTTTTGTTCTGGAATTTGGAACTTTCTTTTTATCTGTGTTCTTTAAAACAAATAAAACAACATCTGCAAACGGCCAACAGTGTTCTTTTTGTTCTATTATCTCTATTGCTTGAAAACAATGTTCTGCCTTGCAGCTTCCTATATTCTGGCAGTCTGTTCTTATGTATGGTTCTGATTTATCCACCATTTTTCATTACATGCACAGCCAAGCTTTTACTGCATCAGTGCTAATAACGCAGCATTAGTGTCTTTTATTGTATGTGTTCTACAATTTCAAAAGTAATTAATAATAAACCAGATGGTCTATTAATGACAATCTGGTATAAAAGTCTCAAATATTTTACAGATATTAAAGTGGACCTATCATGCTATATTTAAATGATATATTGTAGGGCCATACCTATATAAGGTATATTTATACGTTTCTGTTTTCAAAATACCAAACAGATCATGCATTTTAGCCATGCCTCATTTTCGCTCTATGTGCTGTTTGCTGTCTACGGGTCCTGATTCTGCTGACCACGCCCCCCTGCAGGAGAGGGGAGACGTGCTCTGATCAGCTGCTGGGCTGTCAGAAGAGGGGGAGAAAAAGAGATCTCCGTCCTCCGTGTTTTATTATATAGAGTCGTTATTCATTTGTTTTAAAGCTCAATAAATAACAAAGAAGACCTTTGACCGGCACTTTTCTAATTTTGTCCGGAAGATTGAAACTTTAACGGACATCTTGACCGGCGAAAGAAACTGAAACTGAAACTCTGCTGCACGGTCCCCTCGTTCCTTGGAAGAGGCGGAGAGGTGGGTGTTTGTCATCTGCTGGTGGACTAACCGGAGAGAATTACAGTGCTTGCCTCGACGGGGAGGGATTGCATTGAATTAAAGCAGCGGGAGCAAACGCTTGCCTCGGGGAGGGAGACAAAAAGCCACAGCGGAAAATAAACAGAAGGGTAACCATGGTAACCAAGTCTTCTTCGCTGCTTTTGTGGCAGACTACAGCGCCACTTACAGGCCTGGCATATGTACTACAGCGTCTCCAGCGCTTTCGAGCGGCAATGGCCGGCCGTGGCCCAACCCCACATACCCCTGATAGGTGGAGAGTTGGCCCAATAGCCGTAGCGCCACCGTCCTGACGTCAGGACAGTGTTCAAATCTGGATCAGTTTTTATCAGATCCGTTGCAGACCCTTTTTTAGAGATTTGGGTATGGAGGAAAATAGAGAGGGTTGTGTTTTCTGACACTTGGTGAGTTCCCTGGAACACCGGGGACACATATTCATGTTTAAAAGACGTACAAAAGTGCATTTTGCATGATAGGTCCCCTTTAAGTGAAGAGTATGTCATCAATAGTTAGAGTTGAAATATTTTTTTAGATTCATTGTGATTTGACTATGGTCTGAGACATCCACCACCCCACTCTCACTCCCTTCCACCATTTAACTTTCCTTAGTGTTGATAATAAATAATCTATTCTAGGGTAGACTGATGAAGGTGATGAAATTCCCTTCAAACACTGACACTTCCCATTTCGGCACTTACTATTTTATATAAATAGATGACATTTGGAATCATTTGTGAGTGATGGTATCATTTGGTAAATGACATGAACTGTCATTTACTGTTGACATAATGCAAAAGAATATGGTGGAAACTGTATTTGCGTACCTTGTAGACATGAAGGAAGAGTATGGAGAGGTAAAGGAGGATGACGATGAGGAAGGGCAGGATGAAGACGATGATCAGAGGGGTGAAGACCCACAGCAGGTACTCCAAAACACTCAGATAGTCTTCCAACTGACCGAGGCCCGCCCACTCCTCCCACTGATGGAACACACACACCTGTGGAACAGCACACACAGACCAAATAATTAGATCCTGAAAAAGACTTGTGCTGCAGCACAGGCAGTATGAGAAGAATAAATACCTTTTTGAACATTAAAGCATGTTAGGTCTTCCGTCCGGGGCCTACTGGCTGCCCCTCGCTCTCGGTTGAGAACTAAAGCCTTTGAAGTAGTGGCTCCAACAGTATGGAACTCTCCCCCTACAGACATTCGGTCTGCAGTCTCAGCTTTTAAAAACAACTGAAGAGCCATCTTTTTAAATTGGCCTTTGTGTCTCCTTGAGATGTGTGTGATGTGAAGTAAGATTCCTTTCTTTGTTCCTTTTGGGACTCTTACGTTCCTGTGTTTTGTTTTTATGTTAACCTTAACTTCTGGCACACGTTTTTATTGTCTTCATGTTTCTGTGGTCTTATTTTTTTACTTTTTTCTTGTGAAGCACTTTGTCAATTTTATTGTTATTATTAATATTATTATTATATATTATTACACAGTAGAGAAACAAAATACTAATATGAACCTGAAAATGAAAATGAGCAGAATAGAGATGTTGATTTAGGGACAAGGATTCAATATGCATCCTACCTTGTAAGCAGAGATCAAGAACTCTGACGATTTGTATCTCAATCTTTTAGTTAGAATAGAATGTCAAAGACAGTGTAACATGCCTTTAAATGTTTAGTCAGACAGTAAACGCAAAGCAGCAAATCCTCACGCTAGAGAAGCTGCAACAGGGAGCAGTCAGTGTTGTTTTTTTGCAAATTGTATCAGATTTACAAAACAGTTGGTGAAGAATTCTCTGTCAATCATCTAATTGATTAACTGACTTATTAAATAAAATGTATTTATTACATTAAAAATAAATGTGTATTACACCTGTATAACTGAACACATACAATGTCACCTTTTCTATTTCTTCCTCCCAACCTGATGTAGTGTTTTGAACCAACTCAGCACCGTCTGACAGTGAAAATAGGCCCAGTATATGTGTATACTTTGTACTAGTTGCATTATTTTTATTTAAAAGATGTTTTCCTCTAGTTTTTTTTGCTCCAACATGTCAACATGTTTCCAACAGCACTGCAATAAATAACAATTCAATTGAACAAACTGAGCTACAACTGGCACGTTAGTAAACAGTAGTCAAACCCCTGATACGATCAAATAATCATTAGGTTTTGGTCGAGTAATCAACCAATTTCTTTAATAATTTGATGAGAGCACAGCATTTTTGGAGCGCTGACTGCTAACTCTATCACCTTTGCATTACTCCAATGTAAATGTACATGTGCATGTATGCATTACCTGTGTGTGTAAAAGAATGAACAGCAATCATTATGCAAATATTGGCAGGTAACCCTTGAAAAAGAGATCAATGATCTCAATGGGACCTACCTGGTTAAATAAAGGTATGAAATGAAAAAAAGGACAGGGATCCTACCAGGAAGGAGACGGTGTCCTCTGCTCCCCTCAGACAGGACTCGTTCCCGCTGCGGGACATCCTGCTGACAGACGCTTCAAACAGCTGAGAAGAGCCTCACAGGGACGGAACACACTGTGTGGAGAACATCTGCGTACACACAGGTGAACTAAAGGAGGAAAACACCACTCATTAGTCCATTAACTTAAATGTTGCAATATTGTAATTGTCTTGCCTGTTATACTGATTTTCATCAGGTAAATATCGGGATTTCAATGGCAATGTAGTAACGAGCACCAGCATCATTCGCAGCATTGAATCACATGATAGTTAAATTGCATATTATTTTATGGAAGAAAGCTTTAATGCTGGACTTTGTTTACTTTCGTAACATAATGACATCACTCGCACTTCTATTGGCTAGCGCTCCAACACATTGTACGTAATAGGCTAAGGGGCTGGACATCTGTAAGCGGTTGACAAATCACAACAGAGCCGGCCAGCTAACCAATCAGAGCAGACTGGGCTCTGGTTTCAGACAGAGGGTGAAAAGAGGTGCTGCAGCACAGGCAGTATGAGAAAAGTAAAGAGCTTTTTGAACATTAAAGCATGGAGACATGTCACAGTAGAGACACTACATACTGATATGAACCTGGAAATGAGCAGTTTCACAAGAGAAACTGCATCAGAGAAAAGTCATAGTTGTTGTTTAGCAAATTGTACTGTTGGTGACAAATACTCTATCAATCAACTAATGGATTAACTGACTTAAAAAAGCTGTACAATGATAACTGTAAAAATACAGTGACACTTTTTCTATAGCCCTGTAGTCACGAGCACCAGCCTTATTTGTAGCACTGAATCACATGATAGTTATTTATTGGAGCATAGCTTTACTGCAGGGAACAATGTTAACGTTACACTGTAGCTATAAGAAGTAGACGGATACAGTCAAAGCAATACATTTAATAACCTCGTAACCTTATATGAGCTAAGCTAAAACAGTGAGCTAACGAGTGTTATTGGCAGAACCAGAAGAATGTGAGTTGACAGCGAAGCCTTCAGCGTAAACAGAGAGCATCACCTTAAATAACACCACACACAGAATACTGACAGGAACACGTTACCTTTGACAGTCGACTACTCCATGAACAGAGCCATTAGAACAAGCTCATATATATTTAATATTACACGGAAAGAACATTCAAGTCCGTAAGCTAACAAATGTCCTGTCCCTGAACCCGGAACGCTTTGACGGTGACACGACAAGGTGTTAACCCTTAGGGTGATTCAGTTCCTGACAATACTGGACCGATAGATCAGTTCCGCTCAACAGCAACACAACAGACACTTCCTTCAAAATAAAAGTGCAAATACTAAAAATATGTCAGTCTAAAAAGATGTTGCATAATACATTTTTAACTGAAAGAGAGGGGGTTTGAATACAATACACTATTCAAAAATTCAACATGACACAAAATGAACACACACATACATTAATTAAAGAGCAACAAAGTTGATGAAAATGTGTTGTCATCAAATATTATTGCATCGATCCCTACTCATACTTGCACAACTAAAACACTAAATAAATGTAGGCTATAGAATATTAATCCAACAATACAGTCGAAGAGTCTGTTACAGTAATTACAAGTAAATGATCTACATAAATGAGCCAAATTAAATCGGGTGTATTTGTTGTGTTCTTCTTGATAACTAAAAACACAAGTTCTGAATCAGTAAGTGTAGGATTCCATAGAAATGCATGCGGGTCATTTTTGACCCACTTAGGGTATTACTACCCGCTTGGGGTGGTAATACAAAAACTATTTGTAGTAATACAAAAACTACAATTTCTTAAAATTTAAATTTAAAATTTGTATTGGCATGATATCCAAAACATGTTTTTTGAGGAATAGCTGGAATATGAAATGATAAAAAAATGTAATTACAAAGATACTACAAGAAAACCACCTCACCGGGTCAAAAAAGATCCACTTATCCATCTAAGGGTTAAAAGATTTGGGTTGTATTCAACATTTAGTATTTATAGGGCAGCAATATTTAGAGAACGTTACAGTGTGTCTTACTCTTATTGTACAGATAACAGAATGACTACATTTGAGGAAAACCTATTAGTTTTCCTATTATCTTATTTCTGTTCACAGAAGACACCAACAATGTGTTTTTCTGCATTTGTCTCTTTTATTCTGAAAATGCATGACCGGAAGTCTCCATGTTGTCGCTGCCAGTCCTAGCGGAAGTTCCCTGAACGTGAGTGAGATGTTGCCATGCTGTTCTTGACACACACTTGAAGAAACAGTTTGGACCGTATGAGCTCTTGCTGCTGTGTGTTAGAGAGTTGCTGAGTCATGATGCTGGAGAGGAGCAGGGTGACGCTACTCGCGGAGATCTTCTTCAGCAGGAAGCTGGAGGAGGAAGAGGAGGAGAGGATCCACTGCCTCTGCTCCAGAGCCTTCGTGCAGTAAGCATCCCACAGAGCCCTGCATGTGTGATGAAGAGCTGTGGAAGTCTCCGTGTGTGTGTGTGTTCTCTGACTGTGTGTGTGTTCTCTGACTGTGTGTGTGTTCTCTAACTGTGTGTGTGTTCTCTGACTGTGTGTGTGTGTGTGTGTTCTCTAACTGTGTGTGTGTTCTCTGCAGTGGCGAGCCGTGAGCTTTATACCTAGGCCCTCTGACCCCCACCCCTTCCCTCGAAAAAAAGACGTTATTACGTCACAGCGTATACTTCAGCGGAATATCAAAACAACGGCCCATCAATGACAGCGACCCTCTACCACACAAAACAACACCTGTGAACCCAATTTGTGTTCTTTGACATTGAAAATGATATTGCATTGTGTTTGTTACTTTCATTGCAGTTGTATGTCTTAAGTGTAATTTGGCATGCTTTTATTTTGAAGGCGAGTTCACGCTGTTGACAGGAAGTTGTTGTTGCTATGGAAACAAGAACAGTTTCACAGCGGGCTAAACTCGTCATAAAGTCCGCGATAATAAAACCCACCCATTTAGAGGGAAGATATGATTGGTCAATTGTACTGTCATTTGACATTACTCTCTCGTTCAGTTACTATAGCGGGCCCTCTGTGAATCGCAGAGAGGCCCGCTATAGTAACTGACATTCAAACAGAGACTGAACAGGCAGATTCGAAGGATTTATTTATTTGGAAATGTTATTTTATTAAATCAAGTTTTTTTTCGGTAAAACTAATGAAAAATATAACAAAAATAATATTAAAAAAATATATATTTAAAAAAAATATATATTTTTTTAATGTTTTTAAATATTATTTTTTGGAATATCTTAGGCCCTCACAGAGGGCCTAGAGGGCCCTGACGGCTCGCCACTGGTTCTCTGACTGTGTGTGTGTTCTCCAGTGGCGAGCCGTGAGCTTTATACCTAGGCCCTCTGACCCCCACCCCTTCCCTCGAAAAAAAGGAAAAAAAAGTTATTACGTCACAGCGTATACTTCAGCGGAATATCAAAACAACGGCCCAGGGTGCAAAACTCATCAATGACAGCGACCCTCTACCACACAAAACAACACCTGTGAACCCAATTTGTGTTCTTTGACATTGAAAATGATATTGCATTGTGTTTGTTACTTTCGTTACAGTTGTATGTCTTAAGTGTAATTTGGCATGCTTTTATTTTGAAGGCGAGTTCACGCTGTTGACAGGAAGTTGTTGTTGCTATGGAAACAAGAAAAGTTTCACAGCGGGCGTAACTTGTCATAAAGTCCGCGATAATGAAACACACCCATTTAGAGGGAAGATATGATTGGTCAATTGTACTGTCATTTGACATTACTCTCTCGTTCAGTTACTATAGCGGGCCCTCTGTGAATCGCAGAGAGGGCCAGACCTTCTTTCATGTAACCCTTCACATTCAAACAGAGACCGAACAGGCAGATTCGAAGGATTTATTTCTTTGGAAATGTTATTTTATTAAATCAAGTTTTTTTTCGGTAAAACTAATGAAAAATATAACAAAAATAATATAAAAAAAATATATATTTTTAATAAATATATATTTTTTTAATGTTTTTAAATATTATTTTTTGGAATATCTTAGGCCCTCACAGAGGGCCCTGACGGCTCGCCACTGGTGTTCTCTAACTGTGTGTGTGTTCTCTAACTGTGTGTGTGTTCTCTGACTGTGTGTGTGTGTGTGTGTGTTCTCTAACTGTGTGTGTGTTCTCTGACTGTGTGTGTGTTCTCTAACTGTGTGTGTGTTCTCTGACTGTGTGTGTGTTCTCTAACTGTGTGTGTGTTCTCTAACTGTGTGTGTGTTCTCTGACTGTGTGTGTGTTCTCTAACTGTGTGTGTGTTCTCTAACTGTGTGTGTGTTCTCTAACTGTGTGTGTGTTCTCTAACTGTGTGTGTGTTCTCTAACTGTGTGTGTGTTCTCTGACTGTGTGTGTGTTCTCTGACTGTGTGTGTGTTCTCTGACTGTGTGTGTGTTCTCTAACTGTGTGTGTGTTCTCTGACTGTGTGTGTGTTCTCTGACTGTGTGTGTGTTCTCTGACTGTGTGTGTGTTCTCTAACTGTGTGTGTGTTCTCTAACTGTGTGTGTGTTCTCTACAGGGACCGGGAGCTGTACCGCTCTGACAACAGACTGCTCTCCTTTGATGTGACCAACACAGTCCAAGGTAACTAATACAATTCTATGTTGAACTTTCAACACAAACACACACACAGACACACACACACACATTCAGAATTGAGAGGAATTAAGTAGAAAAAAGAGAACAAATATATGACTATTTGAAAAGGCTGTATAAACAAATATATTATAAAAACATACTAAAAAGAAGAAAAAAAAGTTTAAAAGTAATATATAAGTATATAACAAGGGAAGTAAAACAAGATCGTGTCAATGTACACCATTTATTTTATAATCAGTTATAAAGAAGTAGCATTGAACAGAAATGTGCACAAATATTTACATTAGATTTGATTCAACTGTATTGTTATTGCATGGAGTAAAACGAAATCTAGTTGTATGTGGATTCACATAACAAACAGTGTTGCAGTTATGTACATACATATATATGAATACATATCTTTTGGTACGGTGCAGATTTATAAACATATACAGATAAGGTGCAGGGATTAAGCATATATTAGTTAAAAACTGTTGTAATGAATAACAAATACAGATGATAATAATAAATAGTAATTACAGACATCATAAGTGTGTCACAAGGTGTTAAAGGTCGCTGAGTGTGGGGCGCTGTGGGTTGGAGCCCCATGACATTCAAAGGGGAGTGGTACTGTAGTTTGAGGATCATGGCTGGGGAGGGAGAGTGGGCCAGTCCTGAGTGTGAGAGTTCAAACTCAGGACTGGCCCACAAATATACAGAGGAAGGGGCAAGCTTTACAGTGTCTACGGGGGTGGATTCAGAAGTTGTGAAAACATTACCCCTCACCTCACAGAGGCAGATGATGGAGAGGAGGAAGAAGAGGAGGAGGAGGAGGAGGAAGAAGAAGAGGAAGAGGAGGAGGAGGAGTTGGATGAAGAGGCTCAGCTGATGGCGAACATGGGTCTGCCCCTTGCCTTTGGAAGCTCCTCCAAACAGAGGAGAGGGGTGAGTCACCTGACACCTTCACTTTAGCACCTAGGTTGCGGTCGAATAGTCCAAAAATCAGCTCCTAAATTCTAACCCTATCGTCTATTCCTTGACCTCTGAGTGAAACGTCACGGGGTTAAGGGATAGTGGATAGGAGAATTCAAAAGGATTTAGGAGAAGAGACTGCGGTACTTTAGAGAATCGACTGCACTTTCACTATCCGACGTGTTTATGATGCGCCAGCGGAGGTCATAAATGTGCGTCTGCTGCTGTGGGGAAACTATGGAAACTACAGTTTTCTATACAGCGGACTACAACATGGATGTTTAATAAGAACGAGGGACTACTGTAAACTCATCTAGAGACTCTGCACCGTGCTCTGATGCTGTTGTTTAATGCTTTATGAACGGGGACAACAGAGAAACATATTCTTCATGACCAAAGTTGGAATTGAAATAAAAAAGGAAAGTGAAACTTATGCTCGTCACCCTCTCCCTCCGGTCCACATTAATACAAATGATCCCAATACGTATGATTGTATGAAAAGATCTTAAAATCAATACAAATGTATTTATTATAAACGTTAGTCCTTAACATCTATCACTGTGTATATCACCATTCAAACATCTTTTAAAAGTTGAACAAACCCCACACAGCTCAGTAAAGACTGTGAAATGTTGACTTTATTTGATCATTTCAGTCAAAACTAACGTTCATATTTCTCTTTTTGATTATAATACTGATGAACGTTCCAAACAAAGCACTTTGGCAACTTACCACATACGTTTTAAAAAGCTTAATAAGCACCGTAACTTTCATGATATCATTTCTCGTTCATAATCGGTTGTTTCCGTGAATGGCCGACTGTTGTGTGACGGTAAATGCCGCGGCCGCAAGGCATTGTGGGGCAGCATTTTCTCCTCTCCTTTAGGTTAGGGAGGTCCAGTGGTTCCTAAGCTAAAGGAGATTATAAAGGAAGTTTGAAACCTCCTTTCCTTTCATTTAGAGAATTGGAACGGCACTTATCATGGCTGCCACTGAGGGACTTCCGGGTCATTTCACTCCGTTAGGAAGGTTCCTAAGCTAAATGGACTATTCGACCGCAACCTCAGTCTGTGTAGCTCTTTTTATTGTCTAACTGACTTGAATGGGCACTTCCTGCTGCTAAATGAGCCTGTTGTGGTCATGTGACAGGGGAGGAGGTCCAACAGGAAGCCTGCCACATGTTGGGAAGAATCCACTGAAGAGGAGAGAGATCTACAAGTGAACAACAAAGGTAACATGTAAACAGGGCAGGTTACTGAGGCCAGCAGGATGGTTGAATCCAAAGTGAATTTGATCATATGCATCAGTTTATTACCTTTATTTCATAAAGTAACACTTTTGTCTATTCATGAAACAAGTATTTGTTATACTTTTATTGTTTTCATTAATATTTAATAACAACATAATATGTGACCTTTACGTTGACTTACCTTTTGATTTGTGACGCAGTGGCAGTGTGTGATTCAATGAAGGAAACCACTGAAGAGACCCAGGCTGCCAGCTGGGAAACATACTGGGGTACAGAGGAGTGTGTGTGTGTGTGTGTGTGTGTGTGTGTGTGTGTGTGTGTGTGTGTGTGTGTGTGTGTGTGTGTGTGTGTGTGTGTGTGTGTGTGTGTGTGTGTGTGTGTGTGTGTGTGTGTGTGTGTGTGTGTGTGTGTGTGTGTGTGTGTGTGTGTGTGTGTGTGTGTGTGTGTGTGTGTGTGTGTGTGTGTGTGTGTGTGTGTGTGTGTGTGTGTGTGTGTGTGTGTGTGTGTGTGTGTGTGTGTGTGTGTGTGTGTGTGTGTGTGTGTGTGTGTGTGTGTGTGTGTGTGTGTGTGTGTGTGTGTGTGTGTGTGTGTGTGTGTGTGTGTGTGTGTCACACCCAGGCCCCTGCAGACTTGCACCTCTTATGTCAATTATCTCACAGTTTCACATGCTGCTCTCTTGTCTGATTAAACACCATTTTCAAAAACTTGTGAGCAGATTTAAATGTTTCATCACCACGTTTGACTATCTGTGTAGGCCCATTACATAACAAACAAATAAATATCAATTCAATTCAAGATTATTTTACAAACAAAGGATAATGACCAAAGTATAATTATGCAGGAAACTAGCTTTTCCAAGGGTTTCATGCACAGTTTGCTCAGTGGTCATGGAGGTGGCTACATGTTGTGTGACCTATGAATGGAGCACGGGTCACATGACACCAGGTGTTTGTATTGGGGATAAAGAGGAGTGAGAGCAAACCATTTACTACCTCACATATTAAATATTGCTTCTCTATTTTTGATTTATTTCCTGTAGCTGAACAGGGTGAAGCTCTGCTGTGGAGCAGCTGGTTGGAGAAGCTTCCAGAGACTGACCCAGGATCAGGGACTGCTCCTTGGGATGACCCACACTCTAAAGCTGCCTGGGACACACACGCTGCAGAGACATACTACTCATACTGGGACCAGTACTCATACTGGGCAGCACAGGGCTGGAGTGCAGAGCAGCCTGCCTGGGAGGGGAACACTGGGGGAGACACAGCAGGGGGGGTGGGGGGCACAGAGACAGAGGGAGGGAGGGATGGAGAGACTGAGGACCAGCAGAGAGCAGAGGAAGAGGAACAGGAGGCTCTTCGTGATGATGCTGAGGGTTTAAAGGATCTGTTTGCACACAGCTGCACGTTAGGTGTGAGATCAGTGAGTGACTCAGAGACGGAGTGTGTGAGTGTGTGTGACATCAGACAGCAGTCAGAGAGAGAGCTCTGTGTCTCTGATCGTCCTTCTGATGGGGGGAGTGATCACAGGAGACATGCTGCCTCCTCACAGGGACACACAGCTCAACAAACAGGTAACACATGAATACACACACAGTATGTGTGTGTCAAGGCTGCACAATTCTTCAAAATGTTCAATATTCAAACTGCAGAAAGCACAATCTTGTCAAGGGATTAATACCACATTTGGCTTCAACCCTGATTCTACAATTTATTTGTATATTATTATTTAGATTTCTTACTATTGTTTTAGTTTTTAATTGATACATTTAGTAAATACATTTCAGACTTAGTGTCACATATTAGGGTTGTAGCGAGGGTTTTGGAAAAATGCTAATTAAATAAATATGTATGATGTGTGCTGACTCAGATTCCCAGCATGCCCCTGGCGGCGCTGACAGACAGAGTGGCAACAGGAAAGCAACGTCAAATGGAGAAGATGATGATGAAGATCACAAACCCCCAGGAGGAGGAGGGGCTGAGGTCAAACGCAGGTGAGATTCTGCTGTATGTTTGGTGTTCGGGGAGAACTGTATGAAAAGAGGGACCTTTACCCTAGCGCACTGTTCAAACCCTGGCCATAGGGTACACATGACCTCAGTTAATAGTTGAAAATAAACAACTGTGGTTGAAATTGGCAGGAGGAAAGCTAGTTAACGTTATCCTTTTTATAAAATCCAAGTGAGAAATAATATCGAGGCACACTTTTATTCATGAGAATACTTTGACCCATGGTAACAAAACATGGATTGCTGGGACAGTCATGACTTCAAAGAGAAATGACATGTTGTCATATCACTCTAATGCTGGTAGTTTCATTCCAATTCCCACAAGATGTGAGCCTTTGCAGACCATTGACATGCACACAAACCTATAGAACACACTACAGGAAAGGGAAACCCCAAAAAGCATAATAGGGCCACGTTTTCTGAAAGATGAATACAAAATGATTTACTGAAGCTCCAAACCTTTTGTAAGAAGAAATGCAACACAATTACCATCCACAAGAAAGGGCTATCATGTGGGCCTAAACTGCTCATAGTAAAAACATGCTGATGTAAGATGTTATCATATGCACATTGTAAAGCATTATTTTCTGTTTACAGTCACGAGCTGGATGTGGAGGAGAGCCCCAACCTGACCCCTGAGGAAGCCTGGAGTAAACTGGGCCTTAAACACAACCCTGAGCCTCTGTGAGTGGGACCCTCACCCTCTGTTCACACACACACTGCTCTATAAAGCTGCTGTCATTCACACACCCTCTGGAAGTGTGTCAGCAGACCGTGTCCTGCAGCTGTCTGCTATCTGCAGACACACACTGATGTTTACAGATGGTTCACTGCATGGTGAGAAGAACAGCTGCAGCTCCTGTAGTTACAGATGGTTTTTGGCTCTAATCTTTTGTTACTGTAATATTTATGCAATCTTCATTCCTGGAATAGTAGTAGGAGCACTGTCTCTCTTTTTCTTCTCTCACCTCTTTATTTGAATCCTTCTCACTATTCACTTACAGTAAAAACACTATTGCATTAGTAAATTAATTGGTTCTCAAGTGAAGAATGTGAGCCTGAAAAACCTGAAAAAGACAGTTTTTAATAGTTACAGTAGACTGTAATTAATGTAATATTATATTGCAACATACATGCACCTTTTCAAATATCTAAATATTGCCATCACTTTAAAAATAAAAATGTTAATAAACCTTTCCTTGCAAACTACATGTGCCAATCAGTAAACATTATCCTGCCAATTATGGACAACATTATATTGTTTTTTTTTTTAAAATACTGAGATCGCAATTATTTATCAGAATTAATTATTGGTGTGAGGGACTAAATATTATTATTTCACTTACACATTTAAATCCGCTTCTTACTATAATTTCACATTTACCAGTAATAATCCTGCTAATGTACAAATTAGGGCTGCACAAAATAAAATGTATTGTAAAAATACAGGAATAATAACAGAAAAATACATTCCAAATGTTGCACTTTAAAGTTAAATGCACCAAAATGAAGAGGCTAGGGGTCGGCAACCTTTTTGATATGATGCCGTTTAAACAAATTTAAATAATTGGTTTAAACGGCAAAATAATAATGACGACCGTCCGTTCTGTGATTCTCCAGAACACACAGTTGGCCAGTCCCCTGTGAAGCATATTATTTTCGATGAGAGATGAGCAGATCGCCACTGGGCTTTCAACTAAAGACACAGCCACGGAAAAACGGCGGCATTTGTACAGCTCCTTATGGGTAGCCTACTGCAATTTGTGAAGTGCCGGCGCGCTCCGGCAGCACTTCACCCCTGATCGTTTCACCACGGAGGAAAGCAGCAGCAAGTCGCCTGGAGTTAAAGAGAGCGGGGCCTAGAAGTGATCCTTCTGCGCTGCGCTGCGTGCATGGCTTCCTTCTGCAGGTAACGGGGAGACGCGCTCTGCCGGCGGTCTCGTTCAGGATCCGAAAATACAATTTCAATATTTTGCACACTTATTCCACTTATTCCTAGTGTGCCACTGGTTACGGTGCCGCGTGCCAATGGTGGCACGCGTGCCTAGGGTTGCCGACCCCTGGGCTGGATTAATAGTGAAGCACTGGATGCTGTTAGCTCCAGGAGGGCTTGATTTGATATGCAGCAGTGTATTCTATGAGTTAAGCACGCAATTTAAACACATTTCTTGTAAATATATACTTTGTTGAAGACGTGCAGGGCTGATACTTAAGATTGTTGGCCTATGTGCCGAGGCTTGGAGAGCTCCGGCCCAATGTAACCCCTGGTTGCAGCATTACCACTATGGGATGCTACCGTACGTATAGAATCACTTCTCTTATTATCTGCTTTGTGATGATGATTTCCTTATTTCAGTGGCGAATAGAGATAATACAAATCTGTTTACTAACTATGTTGTCTTTAATGTTGTAGTTAACTTTGAGGAACAGATTCTGCCTTGTATTATGTCTGTGCAGACTACTTCTGATTTAGATGACTGCCACTCAGTTTGATATGTTGACCTGATGGAGCAGCTGCTCATGTCTCTGTCTGTGTTTCTGTGTGTCCCAGGTTCCAAAGCGTGTTGAGCTTCAGAGGCGGCGCTGCTCAGAAGCGTCCGAGGCAGTGGCTAACTAAAGGAGCAGTCCGCAGCGTCAACAAACACACCAGGTTCTCTGAGGCGGGGGGGGACCACACACCGCCACAGAACAGAACCGCCCTCCACAAGGTACCTGAAGCTGCAGGTATCTGAGAACACATTCCTGTGTTTCAAGTGCATCATTACCAATGTACTCTAGCTAAGTGACGTGATGATGAAGAAATGCGAAACTGAAGTAAATAGGTTACAACAGAGGATCACCCCACTAAACTGTATACTCACTAGTCTGCTGTTGCTGCACTGAAACAGGCACAACATGATATCTTCTGTATAGGTGAAAAAGTGTCTCCCCTTTTCCCCCCAAAAAAATACAAATTAGATTTTTAGGACAAAATGTCACTTAATTGAAATTGTATCAACAAATTCAAAGTTGGCTTTGTATGAAGAGCTGTCCAAAAATTATAGATGTGCTCGGAAATACGTTGAACAAATATTTATTTAATTAAAATCATCTTTTGGTTACAACTTGCACACAGTCATTTATCAGAATAATCACAGCTGACGGCGGTCAACTAAAATACACACACACACACACACACATCCATGTGACCCAACTAAAACAACACACTGCAATCACACAATAATACATGATAATATTTAAAACACTAACCAATACCAAACATAAACCATGACAAACCACAGTGTAAGACTCATGGATTCTGCTGACAATTGTCTTTATTTTGGCTATTCTTTCTACTTTAAAATCTGAGAATCATACAGATAATATGAAGGCCACTTTCTCTTAAATGGTTTGTATTTCTGGTTGATCAAACATCCGGATACTCTTTAAAATAGAAAATAGAATAATATATATATATATAGAAAAAATAATCAGTTTAAATTGATAGTGGTGGGGCCTCATGGTTTAGGTGAGAATACAATATTTACCTCAAATTTATTGAATAAACAACATTGCACATTTGCAATGTGTATATCTAGCCTTAATTAAGTGTTAAGCTTAAAATCCCTAATTTGCTTTCATACCGAAAATAACACTCTATTGTGAAATGAAGCATGTGTTATTTCTTTACATGACAGATAATCATTGCCCTGGGGTTTTAAAGCTACAAATACAATATTTCAAACTGCATTACATTACATTACATTAGAGAATTTAAATCACATCCTGCTCAAGTTGAAATGCAGAAGAAAAGATATGGGTAATCAATGTCAGTCCGAAATGAAATGTGGCTTCTTTTTTTTATTATTTATCCATTTCAATGTTACATAGAAGACTAATTAAATGAAGACTGTTTTTTTCACAGGTGAAAAACTTCCTTGAAAAGAACTGGAAAGAGACTCAGGTGACTCCATGTGACCGAGGCGAGACGGGAGGAGGGAGCACACGGGAAGCAAGAGCTAAGGGAGGAGACAAGGAGGCTGAGGAAGGAGATAAGGAAGCTGAGGAAGGAGATAAGGAGGCTGAAGAAGAAAAGGAAGAAGGTTGTTTAGATTTGATGTCCAGTTTGGATGCAGAGAAAACCCTCACCTGTGGGACTGTAGAGAGTGAGAAGGAGGAGGAGCAGCCCGACAAATCCTTAACATGTCTGGAAATCCCTGATCGTCTCATGTCTGGTGCTCCTGAAGGCAACACTGGTGAGCCAAACATCAGATGAGTCCAATAGCATACGATTTAGGTTTTCTGGTGAAAAATGTTGTAGTTTTATAATGAGTCTGTATGTATGAATGAGTGTTTAGAGTCGGCTGTGAGAAACAAGAAGAATAAGAAGAATAGGAAGAGGCAGCGAGGCAGGAAGCAGCCGGTGCCGGCAGAGATGGCCGCCGAGCCGCAGCTGGCCAAATACTGGGCCCAGCGCTACAGACTGTTCTCTCGCTTCGACGAGGGCATCCGGCTGGACCGAGGTCAGTTCACTCTGCACTCACTGATTAGTCGATTGTAGTAAAACAGTAATGTAACTATATTCCCTCGCATAATAACATGTCATGTAAAAAATGTAGTTTTATATGGTAACGGTAGGGGTGTAACGGTTCGGTATGTACCTCGGTTTGGGGGTCACGATTCGGCACGGGTTCGGTACAACAAGAAAAAGCAAAACAAATCCCAAATGTATAATTCCAGGTTTGTTTTTTATTTATTTTGAACAGTCGTGCAAGTTTCAGTTTAAAAATAAGGAACTTTAACATTTTGAATAATTAACTTTATTACACAGTTCAAAACAAACCACAAACAGTACCACACACACTCAGATGGCCGTATTATCTATAATGGCTGATGTCAAACAAAAAGGTTCAATAAGCTGTAAAACTAAAAAGAATGTCTTGAAAATATTACAAAAATAAATAATAAGATAGTGTTTCAATCACTTTCAATCACAATCAATAAAAGCCGGGGTCCTCTACTATTGCATAAGGGCGCAGCATAGCATCTCGGCTTTCATGTCTATTGGCTTCTTAAAAGCAGCGGGGATAAGCTGTTGAACTGCTGTTGTCTTTCATCGGGCTCTGGTGATTGCCAAATCTGGGTGATGCCTTCTGATATGATTTAGCATGTTTGGCGTGTGTTACCATTAGCATACCGCACCGCTGTACAACAACGCCGGCACACCGTCCTCGTCCGATCCACCACTCGCACTCCATCGTTATTGTAGTCCACAGGGGACCCGAAATGTTCCCACACAGCTGATTTAAAAGTAAGTTAGCATTTTACCACGTCCGGTGGTAAAATGCAATTTCTCCATAGGATTTTGGAAAATATCTGTAAATAAGGTCTGTGGTTGAGACACATTTAAGAGACGGATCACCTTTTGTTCTAGGACATTAAATCCATCAGCAGTGACCCCACTGGTGATTTCTGAAGAGTTTACGTGTCTGAAAAACGATGGTTGTTACCAAGTGGCTGAATAGGACTACAGAAGTTGTCGAGGCCGTTGTACGTCATTACGCCGAACACGTAAACACTCCTCAGTTAGTTTGCCCTGTTCTGCTTGAAAGCAAGTACCTGCCTCCTGCAAACTGTTCAAACAAACGCTTCAACTTGTACCATTTAGAATCTGTAGTCTTTAATATGGATCTTAAGTTGGCGTGACGTTGAAGCAGCCATCCCTCCACGACCTGCCCACCTCCAGGACCCTGAGGCGGGCAGGGAAGATAGTGGCCGACCCCTCCCACCCTGGACACAAACTATTCACCCCCCTCCCCTCTGGCAGGAGGCTGCGCTCCATCAGGACCAAAACCTCTCTCCACCTGAACAGTTTCTTCCCCTCCGCTACCGGCCTCTTAAACCAGGCCCGGCCCCCCCACTGACACTTTACCTCAGCCACAACGTAGTCTCTATATCCTCCTGGGACCCATCCCATTGAAAATGTCCACTGTAGTGGACATTTTGTTAACATGCATCTCCTTTTACTCTTTTGAGCTACTCTATCAATCCCTGATGTACTGTACAGAGGACATCTATCAATCCCTGATGTACTGTACAGAGGACATCTATCAATCTCTGATGTACTGTACAGAGGACATCTATCAATCTCTGATGTACTGTACAGACGACATCTATCAATCCCTGATGTACTGTACAGACGACATCTATCAATCTCTGATGTACTGTACAGACGACATCTATCAATCTCTGATGTACTGTACAGAGGACATCTATCAATCCCTGATGTACTGTACAGAGGACATCTATCAATCCCTGATGTACTGTACAGACGACATCTATCAATCCCTGATGTACTGTACAGACGACATCTATCAATCTCTGATGTACTGTACAGACGACATCTATCAATCCCTGATGTACTGTACAGACGACATCTATCAATCCCTGATGTACTGTACAGAGGACATCTATCAATCTCTGATGTACTGTACAGACGACATCTATCAATCCCTGATGTACTGTACAGAGGACATCTATCAATCCCTGATGTACTGTACAGACGACATCTATCAATCCCTGATGTACTGTACAGACGACATCTATCAATCTCTGATGTACTGTACAGAGGACATCTATCAATCCCTGATGTACTGTACAGAGGACATCTATCAATCCCTGATGTACTGTACAGACGACATCTATCAATCTCTGATGTACTGTACAGAGGACATCTATCAATCCCTGATGTACTGTACAGACGACATCTATCAATCTCTGATGTACTGTACAGAGGACATCTATCAATCCCTGATGTACTGTACAGAGGACATCTATCAATCCCTGATGTACTGTACAGACGACATCTATCAATCTCTGATGTACTGTACAGAGGACATCTATCAATCCCTGATGTACTGTACAGACGACATCTATCAATCTCTGATGTACTGTACAGACGACATCTATCAATCCCTGATGTACTGTACAGAGGACATCTATCAATCCCTGATGTACTGTACAGACGACATCTATCAATCTCTGATGTACTGTACAGACGACATCTATCAATCCCTGATGTACTGTACAGACGACATCTATCAATCTCTGATGTACTGTACAGAGGACATCTATCAATCCCTGATGTACTGTACAGACGACATCTATCAATCCCTGATGTACTGTACAGAGGACATCTATCAATCCCTGATGTACTGTACAGAGGACATCCTGGTCTTTCCAGTGAGATGTCATTGGGTAAAATTGCATGCTGGGAAGTTCCTCTTTCTTTTCATCCAAAATGGCTGGCATACCAAAAACAAAATGTTATAGAAGCAGGAGGAGAAGTCAAACATTGTTGAATAATTGTAATTTTTACCATGAAAATCATATATGTTCTTGTTTATTAACATGTGAGGAACTATATAATTAGTTCTGAAAGCAATTCAATAGTTCAAGTTTTCAAATAACAGCTCTTTTATATATATCCATTCTAGTGGACGTCAGGACCATCTTCATGGACTTAATGACTCAATATAGTTGCAGGAGACGGAACTGAAGCAGACATTTTCTGTACCAGATAGTGAAGGGAGATTCAGATGTTGAGCTCTCAGATGATGAGAGAGATGAGGCGTTCACACCTGGGATAGAAGAGGGTCAAGAAGAAGGGGGAAAAGATGCAGGACAGACATAGAGACAGATGGGGACGAGCTGGAAAGACAGGTCTCTCTGTGGGCCAAGAGTAGCACGCATGTCTTATTGTTGTTTTTATTTGAAGTGGAGCCATGACAAATGAGAATTGCCTCAGGAATGCAAGCTTTGTTTCTATGAGCATGGTCAAATGGAGACCACCTCCATAAAACTAGTCAAGATGACCTTACAGCCTGTGCCGACTGGAGTCAATGAGGTACTTTTCCCAGTACATTAGGCGCGTTCACACCGGAGTACTTTTCCCCGTACTTTTCCCATTTAGTTCCGTTAGTACCCCTTATGTCGCGTTCACACCAAAAAGAGTACTTAGTGCCGGGAACTTTTACCTCCATTTTCAGTCCCTGCTAGAGAGGTGGTACCAAAAAAGTACCAAAAAAGTACCAATTTCTATTGGCTGGGCGAATTGCAAACCACGCCCCGTAAAACTCTGAAAAGTTTTGTGAAGCCACCATATTTGCTGGCATTAGCATTATTAGCATTAGCATTAGCCCCGCGCACCAACGGAGAGAGAATAACTTATGGCAACACAAAAAAAACATGGGAGCGGTGGAGATGAGGAGGTGTCGGCGTTCTGGCGATTTACTCGGAAGGCTTCAGTAGAAGCTGCTGGGAGTCCCAGCAGCTTCTACTGAAGCCAGTCCCCAACTCCGGGGACTTCCGGCCGGGGACTCCGGGTATACGCCGTGAAGTTGTTTGCGGCCTGCCAGTAAACCCAAAGCAGAAGAAGACGAAGTGACGTCAGCGGCTCATTTGCGTAATCTTCCCTCAGGGAAAAGTACTCCGGTGTGAACGCGATTGGTACTTAGTGCCGGGGTACTAAGTGCCGGCACTAAGTACGACAAAGTACTTGGTGTGAAAGTGGCTATTGACAAAGTCTTTGAAGATCTGGAAAGATTCACCAAAAACCAAACTAGTTTTTTAGTGACCAAATAAGCAGCAATGTTCAGATCAATTACTTATTCATGTTTTAAATAAAGGTGAATAAATAAATCAGAGGCTCCTCACTCTGTTTTGTTGGTTCAAAACATTCTCACATTTCATAACAGTAAACATTTAGATTTCATTCATTTAACTGGCACTTCAGGAAAGGCTTTGAAGGTCCCCTATTTTACTGTTTTCCAACAATATATTATATGTCACATATACAGAACATGTCTCTGAGGTGTTTGGCTGAAACACCAAACAGATCATTGCAGCATCCCATAATCCCCTCTGTTTCAAAAGTGCTGATTCTCTGTCTGTAGCTTTAAATGCAAATGAGCTGCTGCTGGTCACGCCCCTCTTAGGAGTGATTGGTTTAAAAAAACACAATGATGCTCTAGGAGGAGATTCAGGTGATAAGGTGGGGGGGGGGGGGGGGGGGGGGGGTTACCTTGGTTGGTTATTGGCTAATTAATTGACTAATGGTTACACAAGCCAAAAAACATTGTGACATCACAAAGTGGCCAACATCTGATCAGAAACTGTCAAAATCTCTCAACACAGAGGGGACACATATTTATGTATAAAGACATGAAAAGAGGATTGCAGAATAGGGACCTACACAGCAGATGCATTAGATCAGTGACATGTGGGGGTGTGTTTCAGAGGGCTGGTTCTCTGTGACCCCGGAGAGGATCGCCGAACACATCGCCCTCCGGGTGGAGCACAGCTTTCCTGACTCTCAGCTGATCATAGACGCCTTCTGTGGAGTGGGAGGAAACGCCATCCAGTTCGCCCTCGCTGGAAAGAGAGGTGTGTGTGTGTGTGTGTGTGTGTGTGTGTGTGTGTGTGTGTGTGTGTGTGTGTGTGTGGTGTGTGTGTGTGTGTGTGTGTGTGTGTGTGTGTGGTGTGTTGTGTGTGTGTGTGTGTGTGTGTGTGTGTGTGTGTGTGTGTGTGTGTGTGTGTGTGTGTGTGTGTGTGTGTGTGTGTGTGTGTGTGTGTGTGTGTGTGTGTGTGTGTGTGTGTGTGTGTGTGTGTGTGTGTGTGTGTGTGTGTGTGTGTGTGTGTGTGTGTGTGTGTGTGTGTGTGTGTGTGTGTGTGTGGGTGGGTGGGTGGGTGGGTGGGTGGGTGGGTGTGTGCGCGCGTGCGCGCCTTTTCCTATTCTGCTGACCTCTACAAGTTGAAGTTCATTTTCATCAATCAAGTTCACCCCATGTGTCAGAGTTGTCCATATGTGTTTGGATTATTATCTGTATGCATATTTTTCTTACTGTTCTTCATATACATAACATATAACCTATAATAATCAGAATGACAATACAAACTCACGATAGATTATGGAAGTACATTCTACTGCTTCCATGTCACTATCCTCTCCATCACCATACAAGTCTTGGGTGGGATGTAAACTGAATTTAAAGGTACAGTGGTTCATGGACAAATGCACTGATTCACTGATGTAGCTGAAATGTAAGAAATGTTCTCAAAGTACTACAAATAGTGCATTATCAGCTGGCTATGGTTGATAATGCCCAACAATAACCCAACACTAACAAGTTCGTCTCTATTATCTGATTTCATTCCATCAGAATATATCTGGAGTGTATATGTCAGCTGAACATTAATTGAAAGACAGTTAAAGATATGAGAAGTTGTAATATTATGTAAAGCTTCGGCTCTTAAAGATAAAGCAGCAAGGTCATTGTCAACGTGAGCTGCTCTTTTCTAATTCTCCTTGCCTCAGCATTCTCCTTTAACGTCGTTCTTTTAACGATGTATTAAGAAATCAAGTTAAAAAGGTCATTCTGATACCATGTCAGCATTAATTGAGATTAAAATGCTCTCTAATGAGTTAATAGGGGTCTTGTATAAAGATAATAGAACAGAACATTTTGTGAAACAGTTAAGATGGCCACCATGTTTGCAGCCTGTGATGGACTGTCCAAAAGCATGATTGAACATGTTCTATTGTGTATAAGCATCCTTCAGCCAGATCACAGACTCTGTATCTCTCCTCTTCCTGTCCTGGTTCTCGTCTCAGTCCTGGCCATCGATATCGACCCGGTGCGGCTGGACTTGGCGCGGCACAACGCTGTGGTTTACAACGTCGCCGACAGAATCGACTTTGTGCAGGGGGACTTCCTCGAGCTGGCGCCCCGTCTCCTTGGAGATGTGGTCTTCCTCTCACCACCGTGGGGGGGGCCGGACTACCTGACTGCAGAGGTGTTTGACATCAAGACCATGATGCAACCTGATGGATATCCTTTTAAAGCAGATGAATTATTATTCATCATTTCTATCTGTTTACTCTAACATGGTTATAGTTTGTGGTAAATATGTTTCTGGTCTTAACTTCACTGTGATGTTTCAATTTTATTGAGCAAAATATATCATATAGATCGTGTTTTTGACTTGATACATTTTTATTTTATATGTGTAAAAGCGAGATTGCCGCCAAATATTCCCCTAACGTTGGTCCGCCGTTTTTTTCACCTATGGTTCCAATTGAGACCAGTCTAGTAGGAGCAGCATTAGGAACAATCTATTATCATTTGGACGATCGACCGTTAACACTGTGACAATTTGGTGGTTTTACAGAACCACGCAAAATAAAAAGCTGGTCTGAGATTGCTCATGAGAACGTATTTAAGAACTCTACTGGTTCTCTGTGTAGATGGCGTTGCTATGGGGAACAACAACGATTTGTAATAACTCTCACCAGAAGGGTAGAAAAAGGTCCAGTAATGACATTTATAAAAAGGGGAGAGTGGGGACACTTTCTGCATTTCTCAGTTACTCAGAGACTTTTCAGACTAGACTCATACTTATATATTACACTTACAAATGTGTGCCAATTACCCATACCATTTAAAGATGAATATATATGACAAATTACATTACATACATACGGAAAAAGTCAGATGTTGCAACAGACCCCAGTCTCCCCTACTAGTTCATTTGGAGGCAGTGTGCTAGTTAGATAGCTAGCTTGCTAAAGTTATCTAGCTAGCTAACAAACTGGCTAGCTACCCTCCTGTCATGTGGGTTGTTATAAAAGACACTCAACATATCTAATCTAATGTACACACACACACACACACACACACACACACACACATACATACATACACACACACACACACACACACACACACACACACCGATTGCCATGCCTTATGGAAAAATGTTACCTTCATGGTCCTTCCTTGTGCAGAATGTAGGAATGGGGATCGAACTGTTGACAGCTTAACATTCAAATATTTAGAAAAGTCCATTTTGTTTATATCATTAAATATAATCTTTCATCCTTGACATTTGACACATTTCAGATTTTCCGCCTGGCCAAACTGATATCAGACAACATCGTGTACTTCCTGCCTCGCAATGCTGACATGGATCAGGTGTGTGTGCTCACTCTGTGTGTAGTAAAGGCCATATTTATTGCACAAGAACACTAACCTCATTTACTTTTGAGTTAATGGCTGCTTGATTTATAGGTCACAGAGCACATTAACAACTTTAAACGGTGTTGCATGATTCACAAAACGACCTGAACTGGACTTATAAGCAGGTCAGCTGTGGTCCAAACACCTGATGGAACTCTGAGTTAGGCATGGCCATCTCTTTTCTCACATTGAAATACATTATTATACCACATTTGCACATAAAGTGGATTTGTATATCAAATTCATTTTGAATTTGGTAATGTAGTAAGTGAAGTTTATGGCTTCAAGGATATCTTCCTCCCTTGAAAATGTACAGTTGTTTCTTCAACAGCTTCTACTACAGAGCCAGCTTCTACTACAGAGCCAGTTTCTACTACAGAGCCAGCTTCAGCTTCTACTACAGAGCCAGCTTCTACTACAGAGCCAGTTTCTACTACAGAGCCAGTTTCAGCTTCTACTACAGAGTCAGTTTCAGCTTCTACTACAGAGCCAGTTTCTACTACAGAGCCAGCTTCTACTACAGAGCCAGCTTCTACTACAGAGCCAGTTTCTACTACAGAGCCAGTTTCTACTACAGAGCCAGCTTCAGCTTCTACTACAGAGCCAGCTTCTACTACAGAGCCAGTTTCTACTACAGAGCCAGTTTCTACTACAGAGCCAGTTTCTACTACAGAGCCAGCTTCTACTACAGAGCCAGTTTCTACTACAGAGCCAGTTTCTACTACAGAGCCAGCTTCTACTACAGAGCCAGCTTCTACTACAGAGCCAGTTTCTACTACAGAGCCAGTTTCTACTACAGAGCCAGCTTCAGCTTCTACTACAGAGCCAGCTTCTACTACAGAGCCAGCTTCTACTACAGAGCCAGTTTCTACTACAGAGCCAGTTTCTACTACAGAGCCAGCTTCTACTACAGAGCCAGTTTCAGCTTCTACTACAGAGCCAGCTTCAGCTTCTACTACAGAGCCAGCTTCAGCTTCTACTACAGAGCCAGCTTCTACTACAGAGCCAGCTTCAGCTTCTACTACAGAGCCAGCTTCAGCTTCTACTACAGAGCCAGCTTCTACTACAGAGCCAGCTTCTACTACAGAGCCAGCTTCAGCTTCTACTACAGAGCCAGCTTCTACTACAGAGCCAGCTTCAGCTTCTACTACAGAGCCAGCTTCAGCTTCTACTACAGAGCCAGCTTCTACTACAGAGCCAGCTTCAGCTTCTACTACAGAGCCAGTTTCTACTACAGAGCCAGCTTCTACTACAGAGCCAGCTTCAGCTTCTACTACAGAGCCAGCTTCTACTACAGAGCCAGCTTCTACTACAGAGCCAGTTTCTACTACAGAGCCAGTTTCTACTACAGAGCCAGTTTCTACTACAGAGCCAGCTTCAGCTTCTACTACAGAGCCAGCTTCTACTACAGAGCCAGCTTCAGCTTCTACTACAGAGCCAGCTTCAGCTTCTACTACAGAGCCAGTTTCTACTACAGAGCCAGCTTCTACTACAGAGCCAGCTTCAGCTTCTACTACAGAGCCAGCTTCTACTACAGAGCCAGCTTCTACTACAGAGCCAGTTTCTACTACAGAGCCAGTTTCTACTACAGAGCCAGCTTCTACTACAGAGCCAGCTTCAGCTTCTACTACAGAGCCAGTTTCTACTACAGAGCCAGCTTCTACTACAGAGCCAGCTTCAGCTTCTACTACAGAGCCAGCTTCTACTACAGAGCCAGCTTCTACTACAGAGCCAGCTTCTACTACAGAGCCAGTTTCTACTACAGAGCCAGTTTCTACTACAGAGCCAGCTTCTACTACAGAGCCAGCTTCAGCTTCTACTACAGAGCCAGCTTCTACTACAGAGCCAGCTTCAGCTTCTACTACAGAGCCAGCTTCTACTACAGAGCCAGCTTCAGCTTCTACTACAGAGCCAGCTTCAGCTTCTACTACAGAGCCAGCTTCAGCTTCTACTACAGAGCCAGCTTCTACTACAGAGCCAGCTTCAGCTTCTACTACAGAGCCAGTTTCAGCTTCTACTACGGAGCCAGCTTCTACTACAGAGCCAGTTTCAGCTTCTACTACGGAGCCAGCTTCAGCTTCTACTACAGAGCCAGTTTCAGCTTCTACTACGGAGCCAGCTTCAGCTTCTACTACAGAGCCAGTTTCAGCTTCTACTACGGAGCCAGCTTCAGCTTCTACTACAGAGCCAGTTTCAGCTTCTACTACAGAGCCAGTTTCAGCTTCTACTACAGAGCCAGTTTCTACTACAGAGCCAGTTTCAGCTTCTACTACAGAGCCAGTTTCTACTACAGAGCCAGCTTCTACTACAGAGGCAGTTTCAGCTTCTACTACAGAGCCAGCTTCTACTACAGAGCCAGCTTCTACTACAGAGCCAGTTTCAGCTTCTACTACAGAGCCAGTTTCTACTACAGAGCCAGCTTCTACTACAGAGCCAGTTTCAGCTTCTACTACAGAGCCAGCTTCTACTACAGAGCCAGCTTCTACTACAGAGCCAGTTTCAGCTTCTACTACAGAGCCAGTTTCTACTACAGAGCCAGCTTCAGCTTTTACTACAGAGCCAGTTTCTACTACAGAGCCAGTTTCAGCTTTTACTACAGAGCCAGCTTCAGCTTCTACTACAGAGCCAGCTTCAGCTTCTACTACAGAGCCAGTTTCAGCTTCTACTACAGAGCCAGCTTCTACTACAGAGCCAGTTTCAGCTTCTACTACAGAGCCAGCTTCTACTACAGAGCCAGTTTCAGCTTCTACTACAGAGCCAGCTTCTACTACAGAGCCAGTTTCAGCTTCTACTACAGAGCCAGCTTCTACTACAGAGCCTGTTTCAGCTTCTACTACAGAGCCAGCTTCTACTACAGAGCCAGTTTCAGCTTCTACTACAGAGCCAGCTTCAGCTTCTACTACAGAGCCAGCTTCTACTACAGAGCCAGTTTCAGCTTCTACTGCAGAGCCAGTTTCAGCTTCTACTACAGAGCCAGCTTCAGATTCTACTACAGAGCCAGTTTCAGCTTCTACTACAGAGGCAGCTTCTACTACAGAGCCAGCTTCTACTACAGAGCCAGCTTCTACTACAGAGCCAGTTTCAGCTTCTACTACAGAGCCAGCTTTAGCTTCTACTACAGAGCCAGCTTCTACTACAGAGGCAGTTTCAGCTTCTACTACAGAGCCAGCTTCTACTACAGAGCCAGCTTCTACTACAGAGCCAGTTTCAGCTTCTACTACAGAGCCAGTTTCTACTACAGAGCCAGCTTCTACTACAGAGCCAGTTTCAGCTTCTACTACAGAGCCAGCTTCTACTACAGAGCCAGTTTCAGCTTCTACTACAGAGCCAGTTTCTACTACAGAGCCAGCTTCAGCTTTTACTACAGAGCCAGTTTCTACTACAGAGCCAGTTTCAGCTTTTACTACAGAGCCAGCTTCAGCTTCTACTACAGAGCCAGCTTCAGCTTCTACTACAGAGCCAGTTTCAGCTTCTACTACAGAGCCAGCTTCTACTACAGAGCCAGTTTCAGCTTCTACTACAGAGCCAGTTTCAGCTTCTACTACAGAGCCAGCTTCTACTACAGAGCCAGTTTCAGCTTCTACTACAGAGCCAGCTTCTACTACAGAGCCTGTTTCAGCTTCTACTACAGAGCCAGCTTCTACTACAGAGCCAGTTTCAGCTTCTACTACAGAGCCAGCTTCTACTACAGAGCAGTTTCAGCTTCTACTACAGAGCCAGCTTCAGCTTCTACTACAGAGCCAGCTTCTACTACAGAGCCAGTTTCAGCTTCTACTGCAGAGCCAGTTTCAGCTTCTACTACAGAGCCAGCTTCAGATTCTACTACAGAGCCAGTTTCAGCTTCTACTACAGAGGCAGCTTCTACTACAGAGCCAGCTTCTACTACAGAGCCAGCTTCTACTACAGAGCCAGCTTCTACTACAGAGCCAGTTTCAGCTTCTACTACAGAGCCAGCTTTAGCTTCTACTACAGAGCCAGTTTCAGCTTCTACTACAGAGCCAGCTTCTACTACAGAGCCAGTTTCAGCTTCTACTACAGAGCCAGTTTCAGCTTCTACGACAGAGCCAGTTTCAGCTTCTACTACAGAGCCAGCTTCTACTACAGAGCCAACTTCTACTACAGAGCCAGCTTCAGCTTCTACTACAGAGCCAGTTTCAGCTTCTACTACAGAGCCAGCTTCAGCTTCTACTACAGAGCCAGTTTCAGCTTCTACTACAGAGCCAGCTTCTACTACAGAGCCAGCTTCTACTACAGAGCCAGCTTCAGCTTCTACTACAGAGCCAGTTTCAGCTTCTACTACAGAGCCAGCTTCAGCTTCTACTACAGAGCCAGTTTCAGCTTCTACTACAGAGCCAGCTTCTACTACAGAGCCAGCTTCTACTACAGAGCCAGCTTCAGCTTCTACTACAGAGCCAGCTTCTACTACAGAGCCAGTTTCAGCTTCTACTACAGAGCCAGTTTCAGCTTCTACTACAGAGCTAGCTTCAGCTTCTACTACAGAGCCAGTTTCTACTACAGAGCCAGTTTCAGCTTCTACTACAGAGCCAGTTTCAGCTTCTACTACAGAGCCAGTTTCAGCTTCTACTACAGAGCCAGCTTCAGCTTTACTACAGAGCCAGTTTCTACTACAGAGCCAGCTTCAGCTTCTACTACAGAGCCAGTTTCAGCTTCTACTACAGAGCCAGCTTCAGCTTTACTACAGAGCCAGTTTCAGCTTCTACTACAGAGCCAGCTTCTACTACAGAGCCAGCTTCAGCTTCTACTACAGAGCCAGCTTCTACTACAGAGCCAGTTTCAGCTTCTACTACAGAGCCAGTTTCAGCTTCTACTACAGAGCTAGCTTCAGCTTCTACTACAGAGCCAGTTTCTACTACAGAGCCAGTTTCAGCTTCTACTACAGAGCCAGTTTCAGCTTCTACTACAGAGCCAGTTTCTACTACAGAGCCAGCTTCAGCTTCTACTACAGAGCCAGTTTCAGCTTCTACTACAGAGCCAGTTTCAGCTTCTACTACAGAGCCAGCTTCTACTACAGAGCCAGCTTCAGCTTCTACTACAGAGCCAGTTTCAGCTTCTACTACAGAGCCAGCTTCTACTACAGAGCCAGCTTCTACTACAGAGCCAGTTTCAGCTTCTACTACAGAGCCAGCTTCAGCTTCTACTACAGAGCCAGCTTCTACTACAGAGCCAGCTTCTACTACAGAGCCAGTTTCAGCTTCTACTACAGAGCCAGTTTCAGCTTCTACTACAGAGCCAGCTTCAGCTTCTACTACAGAGCCAGTTTCAGCTTCTACTACAGAGCCAGCTTCAGCTTCTACTACAGAGCCAGCTTCAGTTTCTACTACAGAGCCAGCTTCTACTACAGAGCCAGTTTCAGCTTCTACTACAGAGCCAGCTTCTACTACAGAGCCAGTTTCAGCTTCTACTACAGAGCCAGCTTCTACTACAGAGCCAGTTTCAGCTTCTACTACAGAGCCAGCTTCAGCTTCTACTACAGAGCCAGCTTCTACTACAGAGCCAGCTTCTACTACAGAGCCAGCTTCAGCTTCTACTACAGAGCCAGCTTCTACTACAGAGCCAGCTTCAGCTTCTACTACAGAGCCAGCTTCTACTACAGAGCCAGTTTCAGCTTCTACTACAGAGCCAGTTTCAGCTTCTACTACAGAGCCAGTTTCAGCATACTTCTTTATTTTTACTTGAGTAAAGAAGTTTAGTCGGTACTTCTTACCTGAGTATTTTTAAACATGAGTATGTGTACTTCTACTGTAGGATATGTGTACTTCTGCCATCTCTGCTGTCTGATGATATGTCTGTGTGCACAGATCGCCTCTCTGGCTGGTGCCGGAGGGAAGGTGGAGGTGGAGCAGAACATCCTGAACAACAAGCTGAAGACTTTGACGGCTTACTTTGGCAGCTTGATAAAGTCCGACAGCGACTGATGGACCAAACAGGATTTACTCTTCCTCTTAATGAAAAAGGGACAAAAGTGAACTTCTAATCTGTTTCTCGATGTCACTAGGAATCCATTGAAGTACTAAAAAGTACAACCATTGAATTACTTTTGATACTTTTTGTCATTACACTTTGGGATATGCAAGTCAGAAAAATAGACTAATTATATATTTTAATTGTATCATTTTTTTAATGTACATTAGAGCTAATAAATGTTTTTTTAGAATTTTGTCGATTGTTGATTTGACATTACTCATTACTCGTGACATTACTGTCTTGACACTTACTTCACCTAAGTGGGTTATCGTTAAGTAGAAGAACCTAGAATCGAAGCAGTTTGTCATTTTTAAGTCAATAAGTGATTTCTCTAGATAGGAAGAGAGGTACAGAGGTAGACTTTAGCTGCAGTGATGTTGCCCTTGTTCATGTGCCATCCAAACCATCTTCTAACCAGAAATTCCATTCTTCATTTTCACTTAGACCTTTTGTTATCTTTATTGAAAAAGAAATGTAAGCATTGTAGAAATGTACTCAAAAGTTCAATATAATTGTAAAGATGAATACAGACCATGCCCCAGTCACACAAACCAAATTGTAAGGCTGTACCACCCAGTGGTGCAGTGGTATGGGGATCGTGCTTTTTGATTGATAATCATCCCTATACCTTAACTTGATCCTGGACAGGAAACAGCTGTATCAAAGGACGAAGATAGAAACTTGCTTCACAGCAGGCGAATATTATGGATTATGACAACTTTCATGTACTCTGGAGCTAGGCGAGGACCACCCCTTTTTTTGTGGTTATCACCCCCTATACATAAAGCTGTTAATGAGAGGCCACATGCAATACAGTAACTTGAAAAGTACATCATCCTGAGGAGCTGCTGGGGTTATTTTCTCTTTAATCTTTTGTTAAAAGAACAAACAATCTGTCATACAATTGCATATATGACAAACAAAACAATCTTAGCTTTTGATCAGCCTACAATGTTCCCTTTTGACCCTTATTCACCAAGGCATATGCTACATTTCTAAAGGTCATTTAACTATTTACACATTGATGGGACTTCCCTGCAGCATACATATTCTCACTGCTCAGTTTTCTGCAACGATAGATCTAAATAACATGTACAATGCAGTGTTCAGGTTATACATACATTTTTCTAATGACTTGTTTTTAATTATGTTCCTCACTCTTTATTTTGACTCTGTTATATTGAATATCTTGTCTTGCTCTGTAAAGGACTTTGTGCTGCATCTTGCATGAAAGGTGCTATATAAATAAAGTGCATTACAACAGACGTAGGCCAGACCCCGTCACTTCAACCAGCAGGAGGGCAGGAAGACTCAGGGACTTGGCTCGGTTCTTAAGGAGTTGTAGCATTTATTCAGCAATAAATAAATACATTACATTTTGACCCCAGACATAAAGACTCTCTTGAATGTGCACCTTCTCAAAATACACAAAGCAGGTACCTTTTTAAAATATCCCCAAAGAGAAGCAAAGGCACTTTTATTCTCATCCCTTATCTTTAACCCAACACCACTTTAAGTTTGCAGTCATAGATCTTATTGCTTTGGAAGGTCCCTAATGACCAGGAAGAACCTAAGTGTGAGCCATGATAAAAGCTGTTTTAATATTGTAGTGCAGCTGGTGACAAATATATTAGGTGGGGCTGTGGAAGATGGTTACCGAGAAATACTAGGGGGGTCCGGGGGTTTTGAAAAAAAAACACACTTTCCACCGGGGAGGAAGGGGGTGCGGCGCCCTCTATTGACCAGCTGCCACCAGCTCCCACATTTGCCTATCAGGTAAACCTGTGGTTCTGAGATTCTTTTTCAACAGCACCATGTTTCTTGGTTGCTAAATCTCTTGGTACACCTTCAAAATAAAAAACAAAATGTTCCATGTTTTTTTTTAATTTAATCTGAATGATGGCTTGTTAAAGTATAAGAAAAATATTTTGGTCAAGCTCAGGATATTATGTTTAAAAAAATTATTTTTTAACATTCCCAGTTACTGTGTGTCCAACACACTCTCACTCCCTAAACGTCCAGGAGCGACGCTTGGTCAGGGTCCCGTGGCGTGCAGTTGGGACGCTCCTAGGCTTCTTCAGCTTCATAAACGGACGCAAAGAGCTTTCAACTGATTGCAATGTATTCCCATAGGCGGCGGTATTTGACGCTCATGGAAGCACGGCATCCGTTTATGTCGGCGGCTGTTAAAGGCAATGTGAGCGTCCATTCCCATTGGATAACAGAGAATTGTACACCCGGAAGTAAGTATTCTCCTTACTGTCGATTGATTTGACAGTGATATCTCCACTACTCATCAACTCAAAAACACCATATTATTTTTGTTAATTTAACGACATTGATAGGTTTAAATTGTGTGCAATGCTTTTGTGTTTTTCCCCTTCAATTCTGAGAAACAACTTGTTTTCTCTGAAATGTGGAGCGCCAAAGAGACTACACTACCCACAATCCCCAGCTATTGTTGTGACGTCCGCTTTGCGACAAACCTCGTGATAAGTCAACAAGCTCTGTGATTGGATGAAACATAAATTCATACAAAAAAAATCCAACCCTGTCTCCTAAAAATTACGTTCCCACAGAACTAAACTTAAAAAAATTAAACCTAAATGGCTCGCGAATTATACTTTGGCAGCCGTTAATATACCTGGGCGGCCCGCCCAAGTAAAGTGTGGGAAACCCTGCTATCTTACCAGTTCTTATGCAACTCGCAAATATCTCTCTCTCTCCCTTCTCTCTTTTCTATCTCTCCTCTCTCTCTCTCTCTCTCGGTGCGCAAATGCGCCTTTTTTCAAATGATCCGGTGCTCTTTTTTGGCGGGGGGTGCGCATGCGCACCTGCGCACCAGTTATGTGCAGCCCTGAATATATTATATATTTAAGCAATAGCTCACGACAGGCAATATGAAAGAAAAATACACACTCCAATTTAAATAGTTTTTATTATTAAATAATGATGTTCAAAATAAAATAGTCCCTCCGTTGCATTCTGCACAAAACATAGTGCGAGGTGGTTGCTATGCAACAACACTAACAGCTAGCGAACATATTAGACAGACAGCATTGATCGATTATTTTTAAAACTGTCCAGCATCAGTAGAATGGCTTACGTGGTCACTTGTATAGGTTGAGGTTGTACAGGCTTTTGCTTGGCGAGAATATTGCTCCACTTTAGTTAGTTAGTTTCGTAACGGGTAGCCGTGATATACGCTCATTATATCACGGCTAAGAACCAATCAGATTGCTTGATTTGACTTGTCCGTTTTATAAATATATACAGAAAAATATATCAATAATTGCCGCTTTTCATATATTGAGTAATATATGAAAATATATTTAATAATATATCTTAATATATGTCATTATATATTTAATAATATATGTAATATGGGACAACATATGGTAAATATTGGTTGTGTATATGTGAACATACATTTACTATATATTCAGATTTATATGGGGACATGTATGTACTATATATTCACAATTATATGGGGACATGTACTACATATTCAGATTTATATGGGGAAATGTACTATATATATATATATTCACAATTATATTGGGACATGTATGCACTATATATTCAGATTTATAAAAGACCATGTACGTACCATATATTCCCAACATGAGTGCAATATATGTTCACAATTGTGAGGAGAAATGCATGTTCTGATAAAAAAAATCTTTAATTCGTTTTTTTTTATCAATGTGTAACAGTTATCAAAATACTCATTAAAAGAAGGACAAGGAAAGAATAAAAGAAAAGGCCTATAAACAACACATTATGTAATGACTCAAGACCATTTTCACGTAATTATGTAATAAAACCCACATTTTGTAATCATCTGCTGCATTCTGTAATCAACAGCCTGAACGCTATATGCAATACATTTCCCTGCATTTTGTAATAAATTATTACATTTTGCAATGGTTATTACAAAATGCATGAGTTGCCCTTTTAAAAAACTGTAATATTCATTATGTAACCATAACCAAACTGTAAATATATCCCAAAATGGATGTTGATATACATGTTGGCTAATGAGTATTGGTAACACTTGATGTAGTTTTGGCCAATGAAAGATATTCTACTGAAATATTTTTAAATGAATTATGAGTAAGGATGATTCATGGTTGAATAAATAAATAAACAGTTGTAATGTTATTGTTTGCAACAAAACATGTTGTTTGTATGTATTACATATTTGCATTGAACTTGTTTATTACATAATGGGCAAATTATTACAAAAGGAGGTGTTATTACATAATGAAGGGAAAATGTATTACATTTTGTATAGGTATAGTTAATAAATGATGCATTGTTATTTCATACAGGGCCAACATTACATTACATTACATTACATGTCACTTAGACGCTTTTATCCAAAGCGACTTACATACTCAATACTGTGGGCAATCCCCACAGGAGCAATTTGGGGTGAAGTGTCTCAGGGACACAAGAACATGCTGACTGCAGTGGGGTTTGAACCTGAACACCAACGCACAACCCACTGCACCACACGCCTTCCCAACAAGAGCAGTCTGTTATCCTATTTAACAATCTTGTTTTTTGTTTCACCTGGTGACAACTTTAAACATGAGCTGATCACTCATTAAAACAAGGTCCGGAACAGGGCCAAAAAAACAGTCTTGTTCCCAATTTAATCGTCCATCTTGTTTTTTCACTTCACCTGGTGCCTTAACTCAGGGGTTCCCAACCCTCGGGTGTTACTGCCGGGCCGCGAAATAGCTGTGAGTTTATCGTAATATTTGCAGAATTATAAATATATAAAAATATTTTATCATAATGTTTTTTTCTAAAAGTGTTTAATTTTCGCAACTATACCAGTCATATTATTTCATCCAGTAGCCTAGTTAAACTTCCACCATCATAACAGTTGGCTTTTATGATGTTCCGATGGATTCGGCGGCTCAGCCTAGGTCTCAGCCTCTCGTGCGCACGAGAAAGTTACCGGTGCGCCAAGTAGGAAGAGGAGCGCACAGGAGACAACCGTTTCATAGCAGACTGTTATGTTTATGTGGGGAAATGGTGGTGCATACATTATTTGAGATATATTTCGAACTCTGACTTCATTTTAAGGACATGTCGGCCAGGGGTGTAGAGCTATTTGTTTAAGCACAGGATTGGCAAAACAGGAGAGTAAACCAGTCTGCCTTGATCTATGAATTCATGTCCGGGACTCTCACGGTATCTGCTGCCCGCAGCTGTTGTATAGAAGGAAAACCTCCTTCACTTCATGAAATGGCTGCAGCATCAGGAGGCAGCGGGACGTGTAACTCCGCCTCTGAGAAGTGCAGCACCAGCGCGTAAAGAGCTGTGTCTTTTTATGCACCGCATTCGCTGTGTTTAACTTCGTCAGAGTGACTGCAGGCACACACACACCTCTACACACATCGAACTGCCCGATTATTCCCCCTCGTTTTATGAAGGAGATGTCCGGTCACCAAGGCGCGTGATGTGCGCGCACACACCCACACACACACACACACACACACACACACACACACACACACACACACACACACACACACACACACACACACACACACACACACACACCTGGCGACCGGACATCTCCTTCATAATGCGCCTTCTCCTCGATTTCCCAGCATTCACTGGATTATCCGTAAATCATACAAATGAAACCAAAACGTTGATTTATCTTGTTTTCCCGTTTTGGTTTTAAAAACTGAATAACGTCGTTTGGCTTTCCTTTTTTCTGAAAAACAAAAAAACGACACCGGTTCTTTTTTTTTTTAAACGTTGTTAATATGTTTTGGATGCATATTGTTCTAGTATTTCTTCAGGCTGTTACATACAATTAGCCTCTGTTGCGTCTGCTGGTAAGTAAATATTAAAATCAGTTAAAATTGACAACCGGTCTGCGTTTGTTTTTAATGTATCTGCCGGTCCTTGGCACAATCAAGGTTGGGAACCCCTGCCTTAACTCACAAATTCTGATGTCTTGGTCCCTGGATGGTGGTTTACTACAGCATCTGTGGAACAGAACAATTACAAATAATTAGAAGTTCACAAAAGACAGCAGGAATGCAAATAGTGGAAGAATAGGCTTTGTACATTTTCAGTGTGGCGCTACTGGTTGGTATATTTTATGGAATTTGGACCAAGCATCTGCATCTGTAACAGTTCTGTTTAAAACTTTTAAAAATGTAATTACATTTATCTTTAAAAGACTACTTTTATTGAATGAGAGTTTTACTAGCACAATGAGCCTGGGGTGGTG